AGAGCCAGTGAGGATCTTAAAGGCGGGTCACCAACTTTTGCGTTCTTGGCCCTTAACACGGTCCTGACATGAAGACCTCAATAAGTTCTTGTTATGTGGAACAGATGAATGAACAAATGAATAAATTTCAAGGACCTGCAAAAATAGAGACCGCCTGCCCTCCACTGGGCAAAGTAAAAGTACTAATGACATTTACTTTGTCATCTGACCTACAAGCAGAATATCGGGTGAATAGTTTCTGCCAGTCAGAAGGATGCCTGACTCTGAGAAGCCACCTTTGGGCTTTGCTAGAAGAGGTTACTTTGGTCCCCGAGGAGTGCGCCTCTGGTACTGGCGATGCCACAGCCTACAGAAGAGATGCACGAGCCCAGACGGAAGCACGTCAACACGAAAGGGAAAACACAGTTGTGTCCGCCCAAGAGTGCCCAGCTGAAGAGAGGAGATCTAAATCCAGCAGCGGGTCTGCTCACCGGTGAGGTCGAATCTACCCAGAAGCCCCAGGGGTGGGCAGCAGCCCTCATGGTTGACCCCAGCAGCAGAGGGCCCCCCGTGGGGTCTGCTGGGGACTTGCGTGATAGAGGAAATAATGATAACACACACAGACACATGTATGCACTTGATGCTCGCTGTGTGCCAGGGGCTTTGCTAAACTCTTCAAATGTCTTCCTGTATTTAATTTTCATAACTGCCCTGAGAGGTAGGTGCTATTACTGAGGCAGTATAGCTTGGTGTTTGTTTGAAAGCAAGGACTCAGGAAGTCAGACTGCTTGGATTCAAATCCTAAGTGTCACTTATAAGCTGAGTGACCTTAGGCAGGGCTATTGAGGCTCTCTGGGCCTTATGATTCTCATTTGTAAAATGGAAATAATAAGACCGCCTGTCTTATGAAGCTGTTGTGAGACACAAATGAGTACATACATGTAAAATGCTTAGAACAAGCGCTGGCACAGAGTAAGCCGTCAGCAAGTGTTTGCTTTCCCTGTCATTCCTACCTAATAGAGACAGGCGGCTCGCCCGTGGCCTCACAACTGGTGAGGGGCAGAGTAGGGACACCCAGGCCTGTCTTCAGAGCACACCTGACCCAACACGAATAATTCTAGTTCTGCAACCCTCACCCCAATTCACACCACCACGCTGATCCGTGTCATCATGGCCTGTCTTCGTCAGTACAAACCCAGGCTGCAAGGTGCTAGAAGGAAGATACTAAAAGAACTGGCACTCTAACTTAAACTCTGGTTTGGCTACCATGTGTAGAAATAGACCCATATGCGTCTTTGTCTGGCAATCTGCCTCCCACCTAAGAGAACTTTTCCAAGGAGAGGGCCACCTCTGCCTCTCTGCCTCTCATGTGGCTCTGTCTCCTTGACACCCCGAGGCTGAACAGCCCAATAAAACCGAACTTCGGTTAAGGATCTCGGATTACAAATAATGGGCACGATTGCTGGTGGAGGTGAAACATAAGGGTCAGTCCAGCAAGAGAGCCTCGTGAGCCAAGACACTGCCCTGGGTCCTGCCCTGCTCCTGGGAGGCTCTAGAAAGAGCCAGAGCCTTGCTAGAAAAAGTACGTGCATCACAGAAAACCAAACCATCTGTGATTCCCATCTGGGAATGAAAGAATCTTTGAAGCGTCTCAAAGAAAATGCTCCGTAGTCATGGTTAGTCCACACTACGCATGTGTACCATGTGTCGAGACGTGTTCAAATCCCTTTAGAAACAAAATGCCATTTATTCCTCATGTCAACAGTATGATGTAAGCAGTGTTTATCAGTCCCATTTCACAGATATGGAAACTGAGACACAGAAAATTCAAATAACTTCCCCAAGCGCACACAAGTAGTCTAGCTTCAAAGCCCATAGTCCTTATCAGTATTTTCAAAACTTTTTGTCCAATCCACAGCGAGAAATACATTCTACATCAGGACCCAGTATACACTCACACATTTATCCACCACTGAAACAAAGTTTTAAAACAGAATAATGCTCACCAAAACCATGTGCAATGCACTCCCACATTTTCTCTTCTATTCCATCCCATTAAAAAAATATATCATTCAACAAATATTTATGGAACACCTGATACGTGTGAGATACTATTCTAGGCTTTGGGGCTTGACGTCAGTGGATAAAAGATAAAAATCCTTGCCCTCAAGGATGCAGAGAAAGAGGAACACTTTTATCCTGCTGGTGGGAATGCAAACTGGTGCAGCCACTCTGGAAGACAGTATGGAGGTTCCTCAAAAAATTAAAAATAGAACTACCCTACGATTCAGCAATTGTACTACTAGGAATTTATCCAAAGGATACAAAAATGCTGATTCAAAAGGGGCACGTGCCCTTTGTTTATAGCAGCACTATCAATAGCCAAAGTATGGAAAGAGCCATAATGTCCATCGACTGACAAATACATAAAGAAGATGTGGTATATCTACACAATGGAATATTACTCTGCAATCAAAAAGAATGAAATCTTACCATTCGCAACAACATGGATGGAACTAGAATGCACTACACTAAGCGAAATAAGTCAGTCAGAGAAAGGTAAATATCATATGATTTCACTCATACATGGAATTTAAGATACGAAACAGATGAATATAGGGGAAGGAAGCAAAACTAAGCAAAACAGGGAAGGGGGGCAAAACGTAAGAGACTCTTAGATACAGAGAACAGAGTTGCTGGAGAGGTGTTGGGTGGGGGATGGGCATTAAGGAGGGCACTTGTTGGGATGAGCACTGAGAGTTATACGTAAGCCAAGAATCACTAAACTCTACTCCTGAAACCATTACTACACTGTATGTTAACTAACGTGGATTTAAATTAAAAACAAAAATCCTTGTCCTCTTGGACCTTGCCTTTTACTGGAGAGAGAGGGAAAAAGATCAACACACAAAATCGTAGCATCTGAAGTGGTAATTTGGTGAGCTATATGAGGAAAAATAAAGCAGGGACGGCCAAGGGTGGACAAGGAAGGCCACTCGTTGCCTTCATTCCCCACTACACTGATTTCAGCGTGCTATCACCCACCGTGTGAAAGCCCCTGCCCCTTAATCCCTCCTTTCCAGTGCCTTTCTGTCTGAAGGCTCTTTCTCCTAGATCGTGTGCACATGCGCATGTTTGTGACTGTGCGCACGTGTGTATATGTGTATAGGCGTGCATGTACGTGTTTGCATGCACGTATGCACGTGCTTGTCCACCCCCAAGCACCTCCTCATCTGGGGAGGTTTGGGAGGAAGGCTCCCCCATACGCAGCCGCCCAGGGGTTCCATCCACACCCTGGCCCTGCAGAGGGCCCTGGAAGGGGCCTGAACTACCACCCAGGCACCACTAGCCGGAAGTCATGACGTGCCAGACATGTGTCCTGCAGCTGGAGTCTTCAATCCAGGGAAGAAAGAATCTTTTAATCATTGGTCCACCCAGAGGGGGCACCTTTTGTAATTCATTAGGCCAGGGGGAATGCTAATTCCTAATCTTCGTCAAGAGGCTCTGCGTGCTAGAATGCCCTTAAGGAGAGAGGAGATGGCACACAGAAATAAAAATAACTCCCTGGAGAAAATCCAGTGCACTGGGCACACCTGGAGGGGTGATTGATGTGGGTCCCCAGGAAGATGGGACTGGAGCCAGCTCTGAAGCAGCTCTGGGCACTTGGGTAGCCTCTGTTGAGTATTTGGAACTTGACACTAGAGTAAAATCTTCAGACTCTTAAGTTAAAGGGGCACATAAAAATATTACTAGCACGGGCAGCAAAAGCATTGCCTGTGGGAGAAGCAGCCAAACTCTGCTAATGAATAAGTGTAATTGATCACAACAGATGACTTGATGGACCTTCCAAATGTGCTTTTAGCAAAGTGGACAGTTTTTCATTCAAATGCAGACTCACCCAGATAAGATCTAATAATGGAGATTTTGGAACAATCCCAGCATCAGTGATTTCTCTCTCTCTCTCTCTCTCTCCCTCTGTCTCTCTCTCTCTCTTTCTCCTTCACTGAGCAGGAAAGCATCTTAAGTTCTTGGTCACAACTTGACCCAACTAGACATCAATTTATGCTTTCCCTGTGGCTGAAGAGACTCTGACAGCTCCAGGGGCAGCAAAGGGGCAGTCACAGGCCACCCTACATCCCTATCTGTCCTTTCCTCCTTAGCCCCACTCCCTGACCTGTGAGGAGCTGGGTGGCTGGAAGACACTCAATACGTAAATCAGAAACATTTATTGAGTGCTTCCTATGTGCAAGGCACCATATTGACTGCCACAAGGGCATTCAAAGATTGGCTAGGACTAGGTGCTGTCCTCAAACTAGAAGGCAACAACAACTGACAGAAAGCCTGAGTGGAGGTCTCAGCTCACTTCAACAAGCACTTAATCTTTCTGAGCTTCTGTTTTCTCCTTTGTCAAACGAAGACATTGCACTAGACATGATCTCTGGGCACTCGGCCAGCTTGAAAACTATCATTCTAGGCCCTCTCCTTCCCAATCAGGCTCCTAGGCTCCTAGGCAGCTAGCTGACAGATCTAGGAAGGGGGCAGCCAGCAAAGGGAGGGGGCAGTGAGGATTCTGTACCTTTCCCTGGGTGAGAGGATATCTCAGTTTGGCCAGAATATAAAATACAGGCTGGAGAAGGTGACAGATAATTCAGAAAATTAAATAGAAGATTTAGACTTTCACCTTAAGGAATGTAGGGGAAATGGGGAGACTCTGGAGTTTGTGCAGAGAAAGGTACTATCACGTGATGGAAAGGAATCTGACCAACCCGTGGAAGATGAGTTCGAGGGAGGGAGGACCCTGATGTTACAACATCAGAGCATAAAGGTTGAGGCCTGAAGTGGAAGATTCCTCCCATGGTCTAGCCACCACGCATCTAGCACTATTCCATCACCCCCTGCCATCGCCATAAGGCTTATTTTCATAAACTCGCCGGAGGCGAAATCATGTTGCACAATCTTTTTGTTTACAGTTCCACAAGTGGTTTCAAGGTAAACAGATAAATTTTATCTCCCTTTTCCCCCAAGTGCCTACGGTGAAACAGAATCAACAAGGTATGCCGGGGAGGGGTGCAGGCAGGGGGGAAGCGCCCCCGGGATGCGCGAGGGGTGCGCCTACCTGCAGAGAAGCCGTCCTCGTGGTCCGAGCTGTTGTGGCTGCAGTCACTGCCCCTCTCGGGCGAGCTGTGACTGGGCGAGTCCCGCTCCGGCACCCGCAGGAACCTCTTGCGCCGCCACGGGGGGAGGTGCTCGCGAGCCCCGCGCGGGGGGTGCTCCTCCGCCGCCAGGGGCGAGCTCCGCCCGTCCTTGGCCTCCGCCTCCAGCTGCTCCAGGTCGCGGCTCCGGCGCTGCTGCCGCCGGCCCCCGGGGATCAGGTGCATCCAGCGATGGGGGCTGCCTGCCAGCGCTGGCTTTTCGGCCTCGTCCCGGGTCCCGAGCCGGCAGGGGGGCACGAGCAAGTGGCCGAGGACGAATTTCTCGTTCAAATCCACCATCTCGAAGTCGTGGTCACTACCGTTGCCCCCATCATCTGTGACTGAGGCGTCCGGCTCGCCCTCCTCGGAGCCCCGCCCCGCGCGAGTCCCGGAGGACAGCTCCTCTCCCTGGGCGCTGGGGACCGTGTCATCGGGGTCGGGTGGCGCGCAGTCCTCCCGTGGTCTGAAGAGGAGGCGAGGCTGCAGCAGATGCTGGTGGATGGCGGCGGTCAAGCTGCGCACGGCGCCCCCTGCCCCCGCCGCCCCGGGCCAAGTGGGAAGGTCGCGGCACGCGTAGGGAGTCCCGGCCTTGGGGGCCACCTCAGGGTCAGGGCGCCAGGGGCCCGGGGGGTCTCCGCCGCCGCCCGCAGCGCCCTCCTCCTGCCGCGGTGGCGGCGCCCGCTCCGGCCCGGCCGGCGCCGGCTCCTCTGCACAATCTCCCCCGCTGTCGCCGTCTCCGCCCTCCAGGCGCCCGCAGCCGAGGTCCCGCTTGGCCCCGGCCAGGGCCGCCTGCAGGTAGGAGACTTTGAACTTCTCCTCAGCCAACACCTGTTGCAGCCGCTTCAGGTTGAGTTTGCAGCGCTCCAGCTCGTGCTCCATGTCCAGCACCGAGTCCAGCCGCATGACTGGCGCCTCCTCCCCGGGGAACTCGGCCTGCCAGTGGCGCTCAAAGTCCCGAGGGTCCCACATGGCGGCCGCCCCTTCGGGCCTCCCGGGCCCAGCTCCGCCGCGCGCCGCGGGCTGGGGTCGCTCCGGGCTTTTCCCGGAAGCCCGCGCTGGCGCAGTCGCCTGCCCTCCACTTCAGCCCCAGAAGAAAATAAGATCAAAAAAATAAAAGTTTTTCCCCTTCCGCCCCAGTGCCTTTTTTTTTTTTTTTCCCTTCTTCTGGGTTTCGCCTCCCTGACGTAAGCGGCCACCCGCTGCGGAGGCGGGCGTCTGGGGGCCCTGGGCCCGCCCCGGGCAGGACGCGCAGAGCCGGCTGTCTGCAGCCCCCGCCGGGCGCCCCGCGGGCTCGGGGCGGCGGGCTCGGGCGGCGGGGGTGGAGTCTCGGTGGCGCGCCTGGGAGCTGCGCGGGCGACCCTCGGAGCCGGCCACGGTAGGCCCGGCTCGCACCTTCCCCGCCGCCGCCGCCGCCGCGCCGCTCCCGCCGCCGCGCGCTGTCCGCACCGGAGCGCGGGGCCGCGCGGCCGCGGGAGGCGGGAGCCCGGGTGAGGGAGCGCGCGGGGGCGCCCCGGGCTCCCAGCCAACCTCCCACCGCCCGGCTCGCCGCAGCCTCCCCTGCCCAGAGTCAGCGCCGCGCCTTGGACCCGGGGGGGGGGTGCGGAGGGGGAGGCGATGCGGCGCGCCGGGGAGGGCAGGTGTCAAAGGGAGCGGTCTGCCAACCGGAGGAGTTCCCCTTACCTAGGATCTACCGAGCGCCCTGCACTAACGTGTCCAAGATCACAGAGCTGTTTAATCCAAAACTGGGGGGTGAACTTTGTTCTTTTGCGAGTCCCTTTAAAGCGTTCTCTCCACTGCTCCCTAGAGCTTTTCCCGGGGAGAAATAGGCAAGGGTGACAGCTCCAAGCGGCTCTGCTAAAGGCCCCTGTGACTTCAAAGCTGAGAGTCCTCCCGACTGACGGAATCAAGCCGTGGCGGCGGGAGCCTTAAGACACTTAGGCATCTATGAGGGCCCTCCATTCCAGCGCTTCTCTGCTTTTTGAGAGAGAGAGAGAGAGAGAGAGAGCGCGAAAGAGAGTGGGGGGGGGAAGGGCAGAGAGCGAGGGAGACAGAATCCCAAGCAGGCTCGGCGCCGCCAGCACTGCACATGATATGGGGCTCGAACTCAGAAACCATGAGATCATGACCTGAGGCTAAACCAGGAGTCGGTTGCTTAACCGACTGAGCCACCCAGGCGCCCCTCCACCTCTTCTCTTCGACCTCACACAATTGCCATAGGGAGAGAAAAAAAGGGGGGAGCTAGGGACAGTTGGCTAGGCTGGCACTCATGGTGCGGTGAATTGGGGGCTCCTCACTTCGCCTCTCCTCCACACCTTGCTGAAACACACTTTGTCGTTCCTCTTTTGCAGGTCTTGGGTGAGGACCCACTTTCTCCAGAGAGAGGTCCTGATAAACCATCAGGTGCTTGCTGCAATGGAGGACCTTATGGTGATTCACATTTCCTTCATTTTAAGGATAAGGAAATTGATGTTCTAAGAGACTGAGTGACTGCGCAGCTGAAAATTCTTCCTTCCCACAGAGCCCTTTGCGGACTAGACCTAAACTCAGCAACCCCTTCTCTCTGGTCACCTGGTACTTGCCTCTCACCTAAACCGTCTGAACAGGCTATCCTGCTCCCACTTTTCAATCCCTTTCAAACAATCCCTCAAGGAAAGACACCAGGAAGATATTTCTTAGCCACAAATGAGATAGTGCGATGGTTTTGCTCAAAACCCTTCAGTGGCTCCTCGTTACCTATAGGGTGGCATCTAGACTGCGTGACACAGGAGGTCGTCCCATGTATGGTCCCTACCTCCCTCCTATGCTTTAGACTTGCCAGCTCCATACTGTCCTCAAAGATGTGTTTTGAGACCCTTCAAACGAGATCCATCGTTATGGGTGACTTCTCCTCCTACTTGGCAAAACTCCCTGCTGTCTGGGAGATTCCAACGGCCTTTAAGACTCAGCTAAGGGCTCGCCACCTCCGAGGAGCCTTTTCTGGCCCCTCTCCCTTCTCTTTGTGCCACCAGTCTGTCTCATACATGTCTTTATCTTTGCCTTCATTCCACTTGATAACTATTAGTGACATTTTTTGCTTTCCCTACTTTTAGAGCCCTCAAGGTTTGTGCCTTTTCCACTTTGGTATTGTTGCTGCTCTTTGCAGAGAGTGGTAGAGAAATAACTAATAATTGTTGAATGAAAGAAATGAATGAATGAATGAACGAACAAACAGACAGATGAATGAGTCTCCACCTTGTGGTTCCTACTCAGCTTCTCCAGTTGTGAATCACTCCAGACTAGGAGCAGATGTGCTTCCCACAGAGGTTTCTCAACTCCAGAATTTCCTTCCTTGACAAACTCTGTGTTTACTCATTTTCCCAATATCTTTTAGTCCTTCTTTCTCTCTCTCTTTATCTCTTTTAAAAACTTTTTTAAACATTTATTTGTTTTTGAAAGAGAGAGAGAGAGAGACTGAGTGCAAGCAGGGGAGGAGCAGAGAGAGAGGGAGACACAGAATCTGAAGCAGGCTTCAGGCTCTGAGCTGTCAGCACAGAGCCCATCACGGGACTCGAACTCATGAACCACGAGATCATGACCTGAGCTGAAGTTGGACGCTTAACCAACTGAGCCTCCCAGGCGCCCCTCCCCCGACTTTTTTTTTAATTTGGTGTGCCAGTGGCGTGACTCATCATAGTGTTTGTCTTGTGCCAGACTGAAGGAATAGATATGTTTTAGAATATGTTAATTGAGTGTTCCCTACCTTGTGTGATTTCTCAGTCCTTCACCTACCTAGTTCCTCAAGCTGCTTTCTCTCCCACCTTGGCTTCATATTCTCCCCTGACCTCCCCAGAGGCTGCCACATCTCTTTTGTCTCGGGAAGGACTGAGGAGCTCCCAATGCCTACAGACAGCCAGTGCAGTGGTATTCCACCAAACGGAGTCCACAAGCATCTTGGCCTCTATTAAAATTTCAGGATGGTAGAGAAATGCAGCACAGCAAGGATGGATGAGCCCAGTCAACAGCTATTGATCGAAGATGTTTTGATATACACATTTAAATGTACAAAGAAAAAGAAAAAACCCTGTAAGTTACTACAAGCATCAATTTCTGAATTTGTAAATTCCCTTCGAGGATAGTTTCAACTCTGTCCTTTAATTAAAACAGCAGTATGATTCCCTTTTGGTCCCAGGAAGTTGTTACTAATACCACTAATTTTTTCCACGAGGACCAATATAGCTGGAAATGCCAGCATACATCTTCTGTAAACAGATCCCAGGAGCAACCTTCATTGTCTCTAACTGGTGGGTAGTTCAGTTTTATTACTTGGCTCTGGGTCATCATGGGGGCAGGGGTAGAGGGGCTGACATTTAAGTCCATACTTCTAGTTGTCACACATCTTTGATCTCATCTAATTCCTCACAACAACCCTGTACAGAAGGTATTATTGTTGCTACGTCAGAGAGAGAGAGAGAAATAGAAGATCAAAGAGGTTAGAAGTCACACAGCTAGGGTGCCTGTATGGCTCAGTCTGTTAAGCAGCTGACTTCAGCTCAGGTCAGGTCATTATCTCGTGGTTCGTGAGTTCAAGCCCCGGAGTCAGGCTCTATGCTGACAGTGCAGAGCCTGCCTGGGATTCTCTCTCTTGCTTCCTCTCTCTCTGTCTCTCCCCTACTTGCATGTGTTCTCTCTCTGTCTCTAAAAACAAATATATAAACTTAAAAAAAATTTTTTTTAAAAAGTCACACAGCTAGTCTGTGGATTCTAACGCTTGGTCCAGGTGCATCTGTCATTAATGTTCATTCATTCGATAAATATCTATTGAGCACCTATTAGGTGCCAGGGTCTGGCAAATAAGGTTTAAACTTTGTAATGTGGCGTATAAGACTCGTCACAATGGATCCTCTCTTTCCCCAGAGTATTTTCCATTTCCTGAATTTTTTCTTCCATTTGCTGCACCCATTCTGTCCCTTAATCTGAGTCACCCTATGAGCTGATGCCTTCTGTGCCCCATGCCACCTCCCTTTGGCCCATCTCAGATTGCTTTGGCCACTTCCCACGGGCTGCCATGGTCTCGCCTCAGGCCACCCACCCCTACAACTCTCTTACTTTTATGCCCCAGGGCTTTTGTTTTCAAAGTCACAAAGCTCTCAAGGGCATCCCAGAAGCAAGCTTCTAAGGGGCAAGCTAATATCCCCAGGGGCATCCCACAGTGCAATGTGAAATGCAAGGTGCTTAATAAATGCCCCAGGTCCCGTCTTGTGAGGGCATTTCTGAGGTGTACTCAGTGGTCCAACGGGCCAAGCCCCCGTTGTTCACCGTGGTAACCAATCCATAATGAGCTCTCTATTGGCTTTCCCTTCTTGTCTGTCTCCCTCACTTCTGCTTTCTGGGATAATCTGACTAAAATACTTGCACCAGGTCCCTGTGTCATTTCCTGTTTCCTCCCCTGTTCCCCCCACTAGGACATACTCCGGCCTCCCCACTCCCTCTCTGATACAGTCGCACAGTATGCTTAACCTGTCCCCTGGTTACTCCTTGGTCTCTTCTTTCTCCGTGCTGCTTCCTCCTCTACCTGGTGTGACCCTTTGTCACCTATCCAAGCCCAGCTCACCTGTGACTTTCTCTCTAAAGCCTTCCCTTCCCCGGGTCTAGTTAGGCATGCTTCTCTGCAGAGGGATTTACCTCAGTTCCAGCACTAGCCACTCCACACTCTAATAAATTCCATGGCTCCTTGAGGAAATCCTGGCTGTGGCCAGCTGGCACTTCTTATTCCTCCAACTGCCACAGTGCCTAATGTGAAGCCAGAGAGAGCCAGTACCCAGCACACATCTGCGGAGTGAATGGATAGATGATGACTGAGTGAAGGATTAGTACCCCACCTGGACCCGTGAACCTCTATCCTATGCCATACTTTTTTTTTTTAAAGATTTTTATTTTTAAGTAATCTCTATACTCAGCACAGAACTCAAGCTCATGACCCTGAGATCAAGAGTTGCACATTTTACCTACTGAGCCAGCCAGGTGCCCCTATCCTATGCTATCATAAAGCAGGACCCTTACCTAAAAGGTGAGTAGGAACATAATTCTGAGTTCATAATGTTAGAAGCTCTGCTTTTCTTAAAAAAAAAAAAAAAAAAAGAATTATCTCTTTATTTTGAGAGAAAAAGCGAATGAGGAAGGGGCAGAGAGAGAGGGAGAGAGAGAGAATCCCTGGTAGGTTCCCCACTGTCAGCACAGAGCCCAACAGGGGGCTCAATCTCACAAACGTTGAGATCATGACCTGAGCCGAAGTCAAGAGTTGGACACTTAACCGCTTAACCAGCTGGGTCACCCAGGTGCCCTCGAGCTCTTTAAATATTTTTAAAATATTCCTTTAGGAGCGCCTGGGTGGCTCAGTCAGTTAAGCGTCCCACTTAGGCTCAGCTCATGATCTCATGGTTCGTGGGTTCCAGCCCCACATCAGGCTCTGTGCTGACAGCTAGTTCAGAGCCTGGAGGCTGTTTCAAATTGTGTCTCCCTCTCTCTCTGGCCCTCCCCTGCTCATGTTGTCTCTCTCTCTCTCAGAAATAAATAAAAACATTAAAAATTGTAAAATAAAATAAAATAATTTTTAAAATGAAATATTCCTTTAGAGGTGCCTGGCTGGCTCAGTCTGTTAAGCGTCCAACTTCAGCTCAGGTCATGATCTCAGGGTTCAAGGGTTTGAGCCCCATGTCGGGCTCTGTGCTAACAACTTAGAGCCTGGAGCCTGCTTCGGATTCTATGTCTCCCTCTCTTTCTGCCTCTCTCTCTCTCTCAAAAATAAATAAACATTTAAAAAATTAAAGAAAAAGAACTTATAAAAAATAAAGTATTCCTTTAGATTAACAAGCAGCCTATATGGAAATATAAGATTTGACTATTAGTCATCGCACTTTAGTGTAAAGTACCTTCCCTTGCTTTCTTCAGGATTATCTGAGGTTAGTATGAAAGGGCTGAGAGCTTGGACTAGGGAGGAGAATTGGAGCAGAGTGCAACTAGAAGGAGAAGGGTGGCCCGGGGAGGAGCTGGGCTGGGAAGGGAGCTGAATCTTGAGTACTGAATGTGTGAACACAGGAAAAAGGTGCCTAGGGGCCTTTGAGTGGTTTCTTCATCCAACTTGCTTCCTTGAATGCAAGAATTCTCCCTTAGAATAACCCGAGAGCTATTCAGACTATCCAGTCTTGGACTCCCTCTGCTAGCAATCCATTCAGATTCAGGAATAGAACCCACACCAGTATTTTATGTATTATTTAGCTTTATATTTATACAATATAATCATTTGTTTTGTGTATGGAGTTTGCTGAATTTTGGTAATTGCAAATAATCCTGTAATCTCCACAATAAACAAGAGATAGAGCAGTTACTTTACTCCAAATGGTCCTTCTTCCTTTTTTTTATGGCCTTTCTTCCTTTTTTTTTTTTTCAGTCTCTATACACAACATGGGGCTCGAACTCACAATGCCAAGATCAAGAGTCACACGCTCTACTGACTGAGCCATCAAAGAGCCCCTAAATGTTCCCTCTTGCTCTGCTGCAGTCAATCCCTTTTCCCGACTACCAATCCCAAACAACTGGTTTTTTGTCATTTCTATCACTGTAATTTTCCTTTTCTGGAATTTGATATGAACGAATACAGTTTTGGAGCCCTGAGTGCTGAAACGTAGCATAGTGTTTTTGAGTTTCATCCATATTGGGTGTATTTATATTTCAGTTCTCTTTCTGCCCCCTCCCTCCCGTTGAGAATAGGCACTTTAATATACTTTATCCATTTCAACCCTCATCATAGGCGCTGTGACAAAAGCATTCTCATCATTTTGCAGATACATGGGTTATGGTCTGATGAGATTAAGAGAGTTGATAAGGTTTAGATCATTCCTTTTTATTGCTGAGTCAGATTCCATACTATGAATACATCCCTATTTGTTCATCCATTCTTCAGTTGATGGACATGTGGGTGGTTTTTGTGTGGACATACAGGAGTGAGACTATTGGGCTGAAATTGTTAAGATCCCACTCTACAATGGCATCCAAAAGTTGCCATACCGTTCTCCACTACCACCAGCAAGGTATGAGGGTCTCACTGGGGTACATCCTCTCCAACACTTGGTACAGTCTTCTCATTTTACATTTAGAGGGTGCCAATGGTACCTCATCGTGGTTTTCGTTTATATTGCTTTGATCTTTTCACGCACTTGTTGGCCATTTGTATATATTCTTTGTTAGGTGTTTGTACATAACTTTTTGTTCATTTTATATTGGGTGTCTGTCTTTTTTTTTTAAGGACATTTCCTTTATTTATTTATTTACTTATTTATTTCTTTTTAATTTATTTCTGAAAGAGAGAGAGAGAGACAGCATGAACAGGGGAGGGTCAGAGAGAGAGGGAGATACAGAATCTGAAACAGGCTCCAGGCTGAGCTGTCAGCACAGAGCCTGACGTGGGGCTCGAACCCATGAACTGTGAGATCATGACCTGAGCCGAAGTTGGACGCTTAACCGACTGAGCCACCCAGGCGCCCCTGACATTTCCTTTTTTTAAATTTTATTTATTTTTTTATATTAGAGAGAGAGAGAGAGAGAGAGCGAGCACGTGCGAGTAGGGGTGAGGGCAGAGGGAGAGAGAGAATCTCAAGCAGGCTCCATCCTCAGTGTGGAGCCGGATGCAGAGCTCATTCCCATGACTCTGGGATCGTGACCTGAGCTGAAATCAAGACTCACATGCTCACCTGATTGAGCCACCCAGGTGCCCCTGCATGTTTGTCTTCTTATAATTGAGTTGTAATAGTTATATTCTTTCTTCCAGCCTTTGTGTCGCAAATAATAGTCTCCTAGTCTGTAGCTTGCCTTTTCATTTTCTTATCTGCGACTTGTAGACAGTGAACATTTATTTTGATGAAGTACAGTTCATTAATTTTTTACAGTTTATATTAAATTGTATAGTATATATATATATAATTCACAGTTGATAATTTTTTTTGCACTTTTTGTTTTCTATTTAAGAAGTCTTTGCCTACCCAACATCACAAAGATTTCTCCTATGTTTTCTTCTAGAAGTTTAATAGTGTTAGGACTAGTGTTTTAGTCTCTAAGCCTCTTTTAGTTAATTTAGGGGTGTGATATAGGGCCAGGGGAGGGATTATTTCTTTCCATGTGAGTATCCAATTGTTAAAGATCCAGTTAGTAAGAAGACCCTTTTCTGCACCTAATTACTTTGGCAGCTTTGTAAAAAGTCAATTGACCATATAAGTGTGGATCTTACTGCTAGATTCCATTCTGTTCTATTGATGTATATGTCTATTTTCACATCATGCTGTTTTCGCCACAGCTTTATAATAGATCTTGAATCAGGTAGTGAAAGCTCCCTGATAGTCCTTTTAAAAATTTGTCTTGGGGGTTCCTGGGTGGCTCAGTCAGTTAAGTGTCCAACTTCAGTCATGATCTCATGGTTTGTGGGTTTGAGTCCCACAACAGCTCTATGCTGGAGCCTGGAGCCTGCTTCGGATTCTGTGTCTTTCTCTCTGCTCCTCCCCAGCTCTCACTCTGTCTCTCTCTCTCAAAAATAAATTAACATTTTTTTAAAAATCAGCCTGTCAATTTCTCAGAAAAGTCTGTTTGGATTTTGACTGGGATTTCATTGAATGTACAGATACATTTGTGGAGAACTGTCATCTTAACAACATGAAGTCTTCCAAACTATCAACTCGGTGTATCTCCCCATTCATTAAGGTCTTCTTCAGTTGTCCTTAGCAATGTTTCACGTTTTCAGTGTATAAGTTTCCACAACTTTTGCTTAATTTCTAAGTACTTTATTTTTCTTGATGCTATTGTAAATGCGATTGCCTTTTATTTCATTTTCTAATTGTTTGTTGCTGGTATATAACATTATAATTGGTTTTTGTATATTGACTCTGTATCCTTAGACCTTGCTAAACCTATACATTAGTTCTAGTAATTTTATTGTAAACTCATTATGGGCTTTTTTTTCTTTTTAAATGTTTTTAATGCTTTATTTATTTTGAAAGAGAGAGACAGCGTGAGTAGGGGAGGGTCATAGAGAGAGGGGGACACAGAATCTGAAACAGGCTCCAGGCTCTGAGCCAGCTGTCAGCACAGAGCCCGACGTGGGGCCTGAACCACGAACTGTGAGATCATGACCTGAGCCGAATTCGGACACTTAACCGACTGAGCCACCCAGGCACCCCTCATTATGGGCTTTTATGTTTTTGTTTTGATTTTTTTATTGTGATCCCATTCATATGCTATAAATCTTGCCATTTAAAAGAGTAAAGTGCAGTGAGTTTTAGTATATTTTCTCACTTGTATTACCTTACTGTTATTTATTTCCAGAATACTTCCAACACTCTAAAAAGAAATCTCAGGGCGTCTGGGTGGCTGAGTTGGTTAAGTATCCGACTCCTGATTTTGGCTCAGGTCGTGATCTCATGGTCCATGAGTTCGAGCCCTGCTTTGGGCTCTGTGCTGGAAGTGGGGAGCCTGCTTGGGATTCTCTCTCTCCTGTCTCTCTCTCTGCCCCTACCCCACTTTCTCTCTTTCAAAATAAATAAATAAACTTAAAAATAAATAGATAGATAGATCGATAGATATCTCATGCACATTACCAATCATTTCCTACATTCCCCCAACCCACTAGCCACTAGCCCTAGGCAACCACTAATCTACTTCCTGTTCGAGGGATCTGCGTCTTCTGGACCTTTCTGGCTGCTTTCACTTAATGTAACATTTTCTAGATTCATCCATGGTGTAGCATGTATTAGTAATGAACATGGGAGGGCAAATATCTCTTCGAGGTGGTGATTTCATTTCCTTTGGATATATACCCACAAGTGGAATTGCTGGATCATGTGGTAGTTCTAGTGTTAATTTTTTGAGGAACACCCAAATATTTTCCACAGTGGCTGCACCAATTTACATTCCTAACAGCAATGCTTCCTTACCAACACCTGTTATCTCTTATCTTTTTGATAACAGACATCCTAACAGGTGCCAAGAAATGTCTCATTGTGGTTTTGATTTGCATTCCCCTAATGCTTAGTGATGTTGAGCACCTATTCATATGTTTGTATGGTCATTTGAATATCTTCTTTGGAAAAATGTCATCGTGTCTGGTCGCGTTTCTTCTTGTGATGTTAGTAGCCATCGATGATTATTGCAAATGGTGTTATACCATCGTTTCTTCTGGAAAATGTCTATAAAGAGAAACTTCCCCTAATTACCCATTTGGTTATCCAGAGGTACAGTTCATACAGGAAGCATATGATGGATGCTTGACTCCTTACCTTTATTTCCAATTGTTTAAAATAATGAGTTGGCTTGATCTCAGCTCAGGTCTTGATCTCAAGTTCATGAGTTCAGGCTCCATGCTGGGCATAGAACCTACTTTTTAAAAAAATACAATAAAATAATGAGTTGGATTAAGGGCATCTGGCTGGCGCAATCAGTGGAGAGTGACTCGATCTCAGTTGTGAGTTTGAGCCCCACGTTGGGGGGTAGAGATTACTTAAAAATAAAATCTTAAAAATAAATATATAAAATGAATTGGTTTACTAGTGTCCTTGAGATAGGTTGCAATGAGGTTGTATTATGAATTGCTTCTTAGTATAATAATGAATTCAGGGATTTAAATATATTTATGCATTTTGCTCCACTGTAATTATCTTAGTTGATGTTCAAATTGTCCTATCCTTGGCCAGCAGAAGCCTGTTCAAGCAGGGCCTTCGAGGCTTACTGACGTCAGTCTAGAGGTCTTTGATAGCTGTGTTGTTTTCTTGTTTGACAAGATGTTCCAGGCTTATCTCGTCTGTTTCCTATCCCAGGCATAAAATCTGCCATTTCTCCAAAGAGCCCCAGTTCCTTTTAGTGGGAAATGGCATTTGGAGATGTCAGTTAATGTGTTAGAAGTGTTTATTTCTATTGCATTAGTCATTATTTATAGGTCTTTTCAGTGGGAAAAGCTAGGAGATATTTATTTATTTATTTATTTATTTATTGTTTATTTTAATTTTTAGGGGACACCTGGGTAGCTCAGCTGGTTAAGCATCCAACTTCCGCTCAGGTAATGCTCTGGCATCTCACAGTTCTTGGGTTCAGGCCTGCGTCGTGGAGTCTAGAGCCTGGAGCCTGCTTCAGATCTTGTTTCTCCTTCTCTCTGCCCCCACCCCCATTCATGCTCTGTCTCTCTCCCTCTCAAAAATAAATAAACATTTAAAAATAAATGAATAAAATAATGCTTATTTATTTTTGAGAGAGAGAGAGTGCGAGCAGGGATATAGCAGAGAGAGGAAGCCTGAGGATCAGAAGCAGGCTCTGTGCTAACAGCAGAGAGCCAGACGTGCGGCTCCAACTCACGAACCATGAGATCGTGACCTGAGCCGAAATCAAGAGTCAGACGCTTAACTGACTGAGCCACCCAGGTGCCCCAGGAGATATATATTTAAACTACATCATG